AAGTATAGAAGATTTGGAAGCCGCTCTTGCCAGTCTTAGGGCTTCAACAACTGAGAGCAAGGCAGTCTCGTTTGAATGTCTATATATTACTTAATAATTCTGACTAAAATATACATTCTGCTGAAACATTTGTAGTTGGGCAATAAATGTGACATGTAGAATTTTAAACCTACAAGTAAGTGTATTTAGCACAAAAATTAAAATACCAAGATATATACAGTATATCGCAAATCAGCCAAAAAATGCCAAGATATGAATTTTTGGCCATATCACGCAGCCCTACTGTACAGCCTTCAAAACCATCCAACTTCAAGCTTTAAAATAACTTCAAACAGAAAACCTCCAAACTTCAAGCTTTTAAATCTACTACAGGCTTTCTCAAGCCAACATCAGTTTGTCTCGACGAACCTTTTGACTGTAATGAAGGTTTGAGGCACAAAGATTCTGTGATTCAAAGATGAGTCATATACAACTGATGATCATTTGTCATAAGAGAGAGAGAAAACTCAGAGACACAGTAAGGGTATTTTAAAGCGTTCTTACCTTCTTACTGCATGTGGTGGTCATCCTCAGACAGCACTTCCTGTGACATGCATAGCGACAGACTGAAGAAAACCAGAAACAACAAGCACACGGTTAACGGCGGATCTGAGCACCACGCACCAGCATCACGTTTCCCACTCACATCAACAGGAAAATGAGACTGAGAGACACGAGAGTCCGTTATCGATCACGTCCAGATGAAAACAGATGCATTTACAGGAAAAAAATCTGATTATGCTGCTCTCAAGACTAGCAGACAGACACTTAGTGACTCGGCTCAAAATACGGGAAAAGATAAACTCCAGGCTATGATGACTGAACTGAGTCAAAACCAGTATTATTTTAGTATTATTAATGTGTTATTAAAGATTTTGTTAATGAATTGTACTTTAAAATGAATTAAAATAAAAAATATTGTCTGTTTTCATTTCAATTTTAGTTAGATTAAGTTGTTTTGTTTTTGTAATTTTTATTACTTTTTAATATATATATATACATATATATATATATATAAGTTTTAGTTTATTTACATTTAGTTATTTTAGTACTTCAACTTTAACTAAACGAAAAATTAGAACTAGCTGAAACAAAAAATTAGGCAAGTAGCTGAAATAAAACACATTTAAGTTTTATATATTTTATTTATTTTATTTCAAGTAAAGAAAATTTTATATTTTTAGTTTTAGTTAATGATAATAATTCGGCGCAAAAATAAATTTTCTTTAAGCACACTTTAATGCATTTTGTGAGAATTACAATACTGCTGTAAATAAGAGAACAAAATTAAAACACTCTTGTTCGAGTCCCATTTTTAACTATTACAATATTAAGTGCTTAAACTTTTCCAGGCTGAAATATAAAAATGACAGAGCTGAACGCACGTTTGCAGACACACGCTTTGTCCATTATCCAGATGAGAGACGAACAGAACTCGCAGTAGGTCGGGATGCTGTACTGAGTGGATTTAAAGATGTGACCCATGTGCTCTTCCACCTGCAGAGGGCAGCAGAGTGCTGAAGATGTTAACAGAGTTACCAAGAATTCATAAAGCCTATTACATAAGAATAATGATCTAAATGGAGTTTAAAACGAGGACTGACGGTGTCGGATTCCTTTTTCCTCCTCTTCTTCCTCTCAGGTTTAGGAGCCTGAAAAACAAACACAAATTCTCAGAAGAGTTTTGGAGGACGATGCTTGTTTGTGGACCAAGAGAGAGATGCTTTACCTTAGTGATGGTTCCATTCATTGGCTTGTATTCCGTCATGAACTCATCGAGGAAGACTTTGAAGGTGTTGACCCAGACTTTAACCGGCGACTCGCTCCAGTCTCTCTGCTCCAGACGCATGTTCTTCTCTAAGATGTGTTCGAACAGAGCGTAGAGATCTTTATAACGAATGCTCCTGCCATCATCCATCTGAGGGTGAGACACATTTAGGGCGAGATTTTGGAGGTGAGAAGTTGTTTTCTGGGTTGCTTTGAAGTCACTGTAAAATTCTGGATGTCAGAAACTCACGGCCAGAGCAGTAGAGTACGAGTTGAAGATGTTGAGGCGGAACTCTTTCAGAGCCTTCTTGAAAACCACATCCACAGGTGTGTCCTTCTGACTGTCTTCAGCTTCTAGATCGCTGATCTACGAAACGTCAGATGAGAGATTTTTAATATTTTGGCTAATACAACGATTCTTCCAATTTCAAATGATACCTCCATTAAACACATTTTACCGTGACAATTCTTATTAAATTGTGTAAAACCTTTCTTGTGCAAACTGAAAGTGACACTTTTATGCAAGAAATATTTTATGAATTATTTACACAGATATAAAAAACGATTGCAAAAATTCTAGCCATACAGAACCATTCTTCGGTAAATTGAATGTGACGGGTTACACAAGAATGGTTTTACGAACAATTTGCAGAGAAGTGTTTTAAAAAATTCATACTTAAATTGTGCCGATAATATTAAGTCACACATTTTATCATTCTTAAAAATTGTTGCATTAAACCTTTCTTACATAAGTTGTGCAAAACCATTCTTGCCTAAATAGAATGTGACAGGTTAAACAAATGGTTTATGAACAATTTGCAAGATATTTGCTTGTAAAAATATTGTTACATTGATTATGGTGACAATACTAGTTGCACAAAACCATTCTTTCATAACAAATGCTACGCAAAACTGTTCTTACAAAAATCGTCGTAAAAAACATTATTACGTAAATTGATTGTCTCAGGCTAACGAACAACTGGCAAAGATATTTGTTTGTAAAAATATTCTTATGTATATTATTGCAGCAACACTAGTTGCACCAAACCATTCTTGTATAAACGTTTGTTAAAAGTTTTCTTACTTAAATTGTCACATAAAACAATTCTTATCAAAACTGGATATGGAAGATTACAGAAGAATACAGTGTGTAAACAATTCAGAAGTTTACAAAAGAATAGTTTTAAAAACAATTTATACAGATAATCATTCGTAAAATCATATCGAGACAATTCTACAGTCTACCATTTTTAAGTAAATTATTAGGTAAAACGATTCTTTCGTAAATTGTAACATAAAACCATTTTTAGGTAAACTTAATGCAACAGTTTACACAAGAACGGCTTTACGAACAATCTACACAGAAATTAATTTGCAAAACTGTTAAGTAAATTGTAGTGACAATTATAGTCGCACAAAAACATTCTAACGTAAATTGTTGCGTAAGAATAGTTTTACGAACAATTTACACAGAAATTAATTTGTGAAACTATTCTATCTTTCGTAAATTGTAATATAAAACCATTTTTAGGTAAACTTAATGCAACAGTTTACACAAGAACGGCTTTACGAACAATTTACACAGAAATTAATTCGCAAAACTGTTAAGTAAATTGTAGTGACAATTATAGTCGCACAAAAACATTCTAACGTAAATTGTTGCGTAAGAATAGTTTTACGAACAATTTACACAGAAATTAATTTGTGAAACTATTCTAAAGTAAATTATAGTGACAATTCTAAAGTTGCACAAAAAACATTGTAATAAAACATTCTTATATAAATTGTTGCATAAAAGCATTCTTTCAAAAAAGTCTCATAAAACCATTCATATGTAAACTGAATGCGACAATTTACACAAGAATGGTTTTTATGAACAATTTACACAGAAATTAATTTGTAAAACCATTATAGTACAATTCCACAGCTGCACAAAAACATTCTAGTGTGAATTGTTGTGTAAAAATATTTTGTAAACAATGCAACAGTTATACACGCTATAATGATTTACAAACAATTTAACAATTAGTAAATCTATCAAGTAAATTGTAGTGACAGTTCTACAGTTGCACAAAAACAATCTAATGTCAACTGTTGCATAAAACGATTCTTTTGAAAATTGTCACATAAAACTATTAATACTTTACACAAATTCATTAGTAAAACTTAATTTTAGTGATAATTCTACAGTTGCGCAAAAACATTCTAATGTCAACTGTTGCGTAAAACTATTCTTTCGAAAATTGTCACATAAAACTTAATACTTTACACAGAAATTCATTAGTAAAACTTAATTTTAGTGACAATTCTACAGTTGTGCAAAAACATTCTAATGTCAACTGTTGCGTAAAACTATTCTTTTGAAAATTGTCACATAAATCTATTAATACTTCACATAGAAATTCATTAGTAAAACTTAATTTTGGTGACAATTCTACAGTTGTGCAAAAACATTCTAATGTCAACTGTTGCGTAAAACTATTCTTTCGAAAATTGTCACATAAATCTATTAATACTTCACATAGAAATTCATTAGTAAAACTTAATTTTGGTGACAATTCTACAGTTGCGCAAAAACAGTCTAATGTCAACTGTTGCGTAAAACTATTCTTTCGAAAATTGTCACATAAATCTATTAATACTTCACATAGAAATTCATTAGTAAAACTTAATTTTGGTGACAATTCTACAGTTGTGCAAAAACATTCTAATGTCAACTGTTGCGTAAAACTATTCTTTCGAAAATTGTCACATAAATCTATTAATACTTTACACAGAAATTCATTAGTAAAACTTAATTTTGGTGACAATTCTACAGTTGTGCAAAAACATTCTAATGTCAACTGTTGCGTAAAACTATTCTTTCGAAAATTGTCACATAAATCTATTAATACTTTACACAGAAATTCATTAGTAAAACTTAATTTTGGTGACAATTCTACAGTTGTGCAAAAACATTCTAATGTCAACTGTTGCGTAAAACTATTCTTTCGAAAATTGTCACAGTAAACCTTTTCATGTAAACTGAATGCATCGGTTCACACAAGAATAGTTTAACAAACAATTTACACAGAAATCATTAGTAAAATTTATCTTAAGTAAATTATAGTGACAATTTCACATTTTCACAAAAACATCAATGCGAACAATTCAAGAGTTTGGGCAAAAATGGTTTTTCAAACAAGTTACTCAGATATTAATTCGTAAAATTATTCTTAAGTAAATTATAGTGAAAATTCCACAGTTGCATAAAAACATTCTAACGTAAATTGTTGCATAAAACTATTCTTTCGTAAACTGTCACATAAAATATTCATATGTAAACTAATTTACCCAAGAATGTTTTTTACGAACAATTTACACAAATTAATTCGTGTAACTATTCTTAAGTAAGTGATAATGACAATTCTAGTCGCACAACAACATTCTAATGTAAACTTCTGTGCAAAAATATTCTTTCGTAAACTGTCAAATTAAAAGATTTTTAGCTACACTAAAATGGTTTTATGAATAATTTACACATATTCATTGTGCTTGAGTTTCATGAATGAGATCCAATCAAAGTATAATTTTTTTATATTCTGTTTTCATTTTAATTTTATTTACCGTTTTAGTAATTCTAAGTCATGCATTTTTGTCAATTGTATTAGTTATCTATTAAAGATGTATATATAGGTTTTTTTATTCATTTTTATTTCAGTTTTAGTTATTTTAGTACATCAAGTTAAACTTAACTAAATGAAAATGAGAAATTTTGCCTTGGCAACTAACTGAAATTAAAAGTTTACGTTTTTTTTTTTTATATTGACTTCAGTTAACATTTATTTTACTTCAAGCAACAAAAAATGGTTTTAGTTTTAGTTAATGATAATAACCCCGCTTTGGTGATGCAATAAGTTAAACAGCAGAATGAAAGCACAGACCTTCTTCATGAGGAAGTCGTTCATGCTGCGATAGTCAGCGGTGCTAGTCAGGATGTGCAGCGAGTCGTTCTGCCAGGCGGAGGATTCTAGCGACACGCTACTGATCTTCACACTGCGTCTCCTCTTCATCGACATCATGCTCATCATGGGCTCGCGGTTCTCCTTGCTGTCGTGTCCGCGTTCGGACAGTCCGGCCTGCTCAGGGCTTCCTAGAGGAGAGTCTGCGAGACAGAAAACTTATTAGAAAAGGCTCATGTAGAGATGAGAAATAAGTGAGTGAAAAATCACACACCGGTGAGCTCTGAATCTGCGGAGCGCCCCCTGGTGGACATCTTTTTATCGTCACGTTTGCTTTTACTCCAGAATCGCATTTTGCCTCTGACCCTGTTGGGAAACGTCGTTTGGATGAAAGACCAAATTTTCATGCACTAATGAATTATTTACAAAAAAAGACCAGGAACATGAATAATAAAAGCAAATAGAGTACGGCTGCACGATTATGGAAAAATCTGACATTGCGATATTTTTGTTTTTCTGCGATATATTGCGGAAATGTTTTTTTTTTTTTTAAATCAAGAAGTTTCACCAGATGCTCTATTTGGAAAGATGTAATCATTCTAGAATAATTATTGAAAAAAAAAAGAAATAAAAGAAAAATGACTTTTTTCTTTAAAGTTTTTATTAAAAATCTTATTGTA